TTAAAACATTTGCTATTTAAATTGCCATTATATGCATATTGCTCATTCTAACCTTTTCATTTCCTACTTCGTTAACATTATGTAAACATAATTCTGCAGTGTGTAACATAAATCACACACTTCTGTAATTTTTAAATATAAATAAATCTTCGTAATTATTTTAAATTAGTTCCTGAACAAACTGCACTGTTTCGCTATGTCGATTCAAAAACCGGTATTAACCAAATTTTTTTTGTGTATTATTAAATCTTCTTTGGATTTTATTAATTGAGAGAATAATTATAAAACGTGTGCACATTTATTATTCTGAATGTTCAAAATATCTTTGATAATACTTTAGTAATATTATTATGCACCGACATATTCTTGCTCATATAATTTAAATACAGGATGTTTTAGAATCAGATTTTTTCAGAAACTACTTACTTGGATTCAAATTTTGAAAATTTGGACAATAGGGTTATTGGGTATGCTCTCCTGAATTAAAATAACGGCATCTATGTAGCACTGCCGGTCATACCGGAATTTGACACCAACTTCGTTATTTTAAATGGAACACTCAGTATATTATGACGGTTTTGAATTCTACTTATGATTTTAGGTACACTTTTATAATACTTTTCTACTTCTAAACTTCACCCACACTTCACGCAGCAGTAGGCTGTGAAAAGGCATGCCCCTTTTACACAATGGGGGCATATCCAACGATTTAACTAATATATTTAATTATTATCAGCTGATATCGTTAATTATGTATTTTATTGAAGTGAAATTTCATTACGAACGGTAGGGTAAGTTCGTTTCATGCGAGTTGCTATGCAACGAAATCATGCAACGGATCCCCCTCTACTCGGCCACGTAGTCGAGTTCGTAGTGGGAATCGCTTGAGCCGTGAGCGTGCTTCAATGCAACGTTCGTTACAGGCAACTCCGGCATGTATAGTGTAGCCCCCCAACAAAATGTATGAATGTATTTGTATGTGTGCCTACACTCTACAGTCGAAACGACGCCACTGACGCCAATTCCTTAACCCCTATCCCGGTATGTTTGTGTGTTTGAAGTAGTTTCACTTCAGTAGCGTGTTGTATGATTACACATAGTATTTTTTTATTGTTTGTTTGATTTTATTACTATTGTTATTTGTATTCTACCGTATTGCAATTGATTTTATAAAATTATTCCCAATTTGAATAGGTATTTTCATTTTCCATTCTTCATAAAAATTATATTCAATAATTGACATTAATAATCAAAATATTTAATGACTAAACTGTCAGTATGGGTATTTGAATGACAATAATTAAAGCTCCAGCTTTTCTACTGTAAATTCGGCATACTTTTTCGAAACTTACTGCTCTGATACTTTTTTTTTTTTAAAAATTAATATTTCGAAAACGGTAAATTTTAGAAGTAGAAAAGTATTATAAAAGTCTACCTAAAATCATAAGTAGAATTCAAAACCGTCATAATATACTGGGTGTTCCATTTAAAATAACCAAGTTGGGTCAACTTCCGGCATAACCGGAAGTGCTACATAGATGCTGTTACTTTAATTGAGGAAAGCATATCCAATAACGATATTGTCCAAATTTTCAAAAATTCAAATCGAAGTAGTTTGCGAAGTATTCTAATGGG